CCAAAATTTGGATGATTTTGAATATTCACTTGAAAAGTTATCAAAGAAAAACATTTTTCATTTTGTAACTTCGAGGGCCCGTTACTTGGTAACGAAGGATTTTAGGAAAAAAAGTTATATGAAGTACTGGTGATATTTTGACCCCATCTATACATTCCCGAGAGGAAAAGAGGAAGTCCAGGGACACCCTGTATATAAAATATAAAATGGTTGTAAGTTAGAAGTAACTTTTAGTTTACGCTTGAGGATAGTGATTGTATAGCGAAACACGAGTCGCGGTTTTTGTAAAACCCTATATAATAAAAATCTTACAATGAATTGTAATTAGTTTCGAATGTATTGCCGGTATTCGAAAACAATATTCACAAATAATAATTGAATTATATTTATTATCCAAAAAAATATACAGTGTATCCACGAATGGAGTTGCTGCTGAAAATAAGATTTTGTCTATTCATATCCTCACCTTTGAGAACTCATAATGTAACCCTCATATATTGAACAGTGATTTGTGATATTCATTGTAGTATTTGTTGAAGTTACCATATCAGTGGATATGTTTCCAACTCACTGTTTGAATAATCAATCTACTAAATTCCAATTTGAATTCACTGACTTTTTTCCAGGAGAGAAATGAAATACATCAAGTTGACATCCACAATACGAGCAATCCTGATGTCATGTTCAATGACCTTGAACAGAACCGCTGTGTTCACATGTATTATCACCTACGTACTCACAGGAAACACACTCAACTCCGCCTATGCCTTTACCGTCACTTCCTTCTACAGACTCCTGAACGGTCTTACCATGTTCTTCCCTCAAGCCGTATCTCAAGTATCTGAAATGCTCATCTCCATCAAGAGGATACGTCATTTTCTGTTGTATGAGGAAATCGAACGTGATACTCTAGAAGATGGCAACAAAAACCCCAGCAGAAGGGATGCTAAGCCCTCAATACGCACAAATCTTACAAGTAAGACCTCTGGAATTCATTTGAATAGAGCTTCTGTGAGATGGTTGAAGTCTCACCCGGAGAATAACCTGCACAATGTGACAATGAATGTCGAATCAGGGCAATTAGTTGCTATTGTTGGTTCTGTGGGAAGTGGAAAAACGACTTTACTGCACGTTATTTTGAAAGAGTTGGAGCCCCAGTCCGGATCTGTAGAAATAAATGGAAGGTAAAGATATTTTTACAACAAACATTCTTTCATAAGAAACATATGCCAAGCTTCCTTCCAAGAATTCTTTTGTATTCAAATAGTATGTAAAACATCATAATGGTTTCATCATAGTGTGTCCTTACAGAGGTTCCGGGACAGAGCCTTGAGGTACTCCTAGAGTTTGATTCATGTCTGTTGATGATTTCGCTACTTCTGATCACTGAACACATAGTTACCACAATAAATTCAATGAGAACTGATTTGAAAATTCGGCAAACAAAATTTGCTGTATTCAAGTATTATTTACAATCATGACACTTGAAGAACAAAATTATTGTTGACGAGCTATTCCATATCTAATTTCGGACAGTTTTTGACAAATCGAGTTTGGGTATGATATTGAATTATTTTTTTGCGAATATTGGTGTGAAGTTACAATAACCAAGAATGTTGCGCTGGTTGGGCCCCTCTTTTCAAAACTCCCACATAACGAGGGGGTCATCAGTATGTCCATCAGTATTGACCATTTTTCCCACCGTCAGAAAATCGATCAGTGGATTTGAGAATCGTGTGCCTTGATATTACGCATTTGCTCGCCAACATTTCTGCCATAGCGTGGCAGAGGAAAAAGGGCAAGCGAACTCACAACTGAATTCTATGTTTCTTCTTCAAAAAGACTCAGAAAAGAAAGTGGAAAGTTTATGGTGAATGTTGGATTGTGCCAACCATCATCGTCTAATTGAGAAACTCTGATCGTATAAAGTTTGTGATAAATCTGCGGAATAGTTTAAATCTCAGGTTAGCAGAAGAAAAAGGTATATAGAAGTCAAAACGAATTAGTATGTTGATGAAGTAGAAGCTTAACAATTCAATAATGCTGAAATCAACGTTGAAGTTCCACTAGGAAGCATATTATCGTCCAAGTTGATTACCTTTCCACGTAAATACCTACCAAGTTATTCACAAAATTTCTATTTCGACGACTGCTCATTTCCATATCATCGCCAGTCTCATCATCACCCACCTCTGTCTAAAAGAAATTATAAATACGCAGCTCGTCAATGAGTCGTTGCTGAGACTTCGTCCTCACAATCATCGCACATACCATTAATGATGTTTGGCGCAGTAGCAGATGATACCTCTGTTACTAGAAGTTTCATTTGACCACGGTTCACCACCATGAATTCAGCCGTGTTACTATATTTCAACAATCAATCAATTTCAAGGTTGCAAAACTATTTCTCAGTCAATCAACTGGATATCAATTAAAGCATATCATTTTTTTTATGTTTCATATCAGACATCGAAATACAGAGACAATTTCTATAGCTATTCAATGCAATCTGTGTAGACAAGTTCGAAAGAAATGAATACCTAGTTTTTTTTTCCAAGAAACGCTACATAGATTGGCATCTTCTTATACGATAAGGGGAATTCATCACATATTTAAGAATAAATTAAAAGATCATATGCTTCATTCTTTCTTATTTCTCCTGCAGGATTTCATACGCATCGCAGGAACCATGGCTTTTTGGAGGTAGCGTCCGTCAAAACATTCTCTTCGGTCAGAAATTCGATCAGCAGAAGTACGACGAAGTAGTGAGAGTTTGCGCCTTGAAGAGGGATTTCACCCTATTTCCCCATGGAGACAGAACACTAGCAGGAGAAAGAGGAGTGTCTCTCAGTGGTGGACAAAGAGCAAGAATAAACCTAGCGAGAGCGATCTACAAAGAAGCTGACATTTATCTTCTAGACGACCCTTTGTCTGCTGTGGATACCCACGTGGCAAAACAGCTTTTCGAAGATTGTATTTGCGGCTACTTGGCCAAAAAATGCGTGGTCTTGGTAACTCATCAGCTTCAGTTCTTGAAGCACGTGCGCAGCATATATTTGCTGGAGAAAGGAAAGGTACTTGTATCTGGATCTTATGAAGATATCAGGAACTCCAACTCCTCTTTCACGAAATTATTGCATGACATCGAAGAGGAAGAAGAGGAGATCAGAAGGAAGTCACGCATGACCCTGGCGAAAGCGGAGGCTGTGGAGAATGAGGTGCAAGTTCTGGAGAAAGAGGAGACCGGCAAGGGAAGTATATCCTGGCATGTATACAAGAGCTATATGAAAGCTGGAGGAAACATTTTGAGAGCGATCATTGTGCTGCTTACTTTTGTGATGTCGCAAGCGTTGGACAGTTCTGCTGAATATTTCGTAACATTTTGGTAAGTACTTTCAGAACAGTAACTTACCTTTTTCGTGACTGCCTCTAGAGAAAAATTAACATATTGGAAATGTTTGAAGTCACTGGTTTGGTTCAGAGAAAAACAATGAGTTTTTATTCAAAGTAAATTCATTGAAATCCATAAATTTTGGAGGCAGTCGACTATGAAGTTTTGTATTTATCAGTCCAATGTCGTCATCGATCACTCAGATCAATAATTTGGTTATTATAATCATTTGTTATTATAATCATCTGTTACTGATTCAGATCTCACTCTATAGATGTTACTGTAACGAATTCAACTCCGCCTATGCCTTTACCGTCACTTCCTNATCTCTGCCTATGACTTTGTTGGATACAATTCAGGTAAGTCTTAAGATTCATTTTGATGCTTCACCTTATGACAAAGGAAGCTTAAAGTAAAGAAAAATGAAGTAGATTAAGATGGTGAATAATTGAAAATACTATCAGATACTTGAATTTCAGCAAAAAATCTCCAATTCTTCAATGCAGAATTCATTTAATCTTCATTTGAAATGTTTATTTTTCTTCATGCACACATATCTGACTAAGAATCAGGAATTTCGATACTTTTATTGATTTTGAGTGATTTTGAGTGTTCAAAATAAACAGATAACTTAACTTAGGTCACTTAAGACAATTTTGATATAGAATAACTACTTCTGCTAAGTGCCAGATATAACAAAGTACCAAATCTGTTTGGAAAAAAGTCTGTTTAAAATCTGTTTTTCCGTTAACCAGCTGTCGCACCCCTACGAACAACAACCCTCAGAAGTGGAAACTTGTGCGAGCTGAAGATTAACGAGGTCTTACCTTTTAACGTGTGATTCCTAACATGGTTCTATTAGTTCGATTGTTTCGTTTGTAACTAGAATTTGAAAAAATATAGGAAAACGCTAGATATGGCAAATTTTTAGTACTATCGATGAGAGAAATGAATCTCAGAGAGTCTCAAAGGTATGTTTTTGGTTTGCTGGCTGTCGATCATACAGATACATATCTGAACAAATAGTTTAGATAGTAATTGGTCGATAGGACTCGTTGATCCTGTGAACCTGAGAGTCATTACAAGAAATGCAAGTATTTGAAGAACGCTTGCAAAGGAAATAGTTCCAACGATGCCAAATTTCAGCCTGCAATACGACCCAAGAAAGATAATGCCAGAGGAGCTCCAGATTATCCCATCAATGAAAATGTTTTCACGCCCCTAAAAGCACAACATGAAATAGATATCTAGCCTAACGAAACCTACCTTGAAGAGCCCAAAAAAAGTTTCAAGGAGACTATCAATTCAGCAAAGTGCCACAAAAAAGTGTGGCACTCAGAAAAAATACTCGGACCATCTTATTCGAAAGATTCCAAGTTCTCAACAGAACTTGAAGCTATTATCCAAGATTATATTGGCGGGTGAGGAATTCAGAAATAATAATAATAGAAAGGAAAAAGAAATTAACTGAATACTCGCTGGCAAGAATACGTGAAGTAACCCAAACAAAAGGAACCTAGCTGAAATAAAACCGGAGACCCAAACCGAGAAGAAGTCTTATGCACAGTAAAAACAGCTAGGGCACTGCATTTATTGCCTCAACGTCGTCGATATTTATTGTAGTTGTATTGAAATATGTGACTTTGCCAACCATTCGGGAAAAGATCTTCCACCAGGTAATATTCCCTAAATTTCAAAGAGCTCCTGAATAATAAACTCCCAAATCACTTCACAATTTGTGAACCTCAAATTTGACAGCATTATCATTCATCATTTTTCAGATTGGACTCAGTGTTGCTGCAATAAGTACCGTCATTGGATCCCTCAGCATATGGATTCTTGTACCCACCATTATAGTATTTGCTGTCTTCTATTCAATGAGGGTAGTCTTTTTGCAAACCAGCAGAGATGTCAAAAGGGTAGAATCAATCAGTAAGTATCTCAGTTGATAACCACTGAAATATTATCTGTTTTCTTACCTTTTTCTCAGCTCGTAGTCCCATCTACACCCATCTGGCAGCATCTTTACAAGGACTAACAACTATCAGAGCTTTTAAAGCTGAGGAAATCCTCAAAAATGAGTTCGATAACTACCAGAACCACAACAGTGCAGCATTCTTTATGTTCCTGGGTGCCAATAGGACATTTGGTTTTTGGCTAGATTTCATTTGTGTTATCTACATAGCTGCTGTGTTGGTAACACTGCTGCTTGTCAAAAGTGGTATGTATATGTTATAATCTTCAACTTACTGTTAATTGATATAACTACAACGACCGAAGAACTGAATTTCAAACATTCAAATAATATTCACTTGATATGGTAGACAATTATTCACGTAGATTTTGATGATAATATAACATTATATTATTGATTATAATATTATATTAATGTACAACAATTATTGATATTATATAATATCGAGATTTCCTTGAGACGAAGGAGTACAGTTATCGAAAAATGTTTCATATGAGAGTTTTGAATTTTATTGCTATGGAATTTTCTGAAATAATATCTAACATACAGGGTACCTAGTAGAGGCGTGGCGTTAGGTTTTTGAATTGAGTGACATATATTCACAATTATAAGATTGTATGGGAATATTTTCAACGGTTTCGAAGTTATTTGAAAAACAACGTTGTAAAATGAATCTGTCTGTTAAAAAAAAGGCTCATTTGGAAAGAATGTTTCATTATGGGATGATTTTAACATGTAATTTCTTTATTATTGAATGATAAATTGAAAAAACTGTCTTCTGATACGAAGTGAATCAAAATCGAAGACTGTCTTTTTAATATTTCTGAATAGAACATGTGATATAATTTTCCACTGATTTAAAAAAAAATTCATCTATTTCGATTATCACTCATTAACAATGTTTATAGAAACGTTTGGAGGAAACATTGGTTTAGCCCTTACCCAGGCCATGGGTTTGATGGGAATGTTCCAATGGGGAATGCGCCAGTGGAGTGAACTGGAGAACCAGATGACGTCAGTGGAGAGAGTGCAAGAATATGCTGACCTGAAGCATGAAGCTGAAAATATGGTCAGACCAACCCCAAAGAACTGGCCTGAAGCTGGAAACATTGAATTTAAAAATTTGAATCTTCGGTAAGTAGTATCAGTGAGTAGAAGTACTAAGATGTACACTTTTCTGAATTAGTATTGTTTGAACATGTTCATGAGTTTATTTAATCTAGCTCAAGCATATATTTTCCAAAAGGTACTCTCCCACTGACCCATGCGTGTTGAAGAATCTAAGTTTTTCCATTAAAGCGAAAGAGAAAGTTGGCATAGTGGGAAGAACGGGTGCAGGAAAATCGTCGCTTATACAAGCTCTCTTCCGATTGGCTGATATTGATGGTGAAGGAGGCATTTTCATTGACAATATCGACACAAAATCTATTCCTTTACATAAACTCAGATCTAGTATTTCCATCATCCCCCAAGAACCTGTTCTGTTTTCTGGAACACTCAGAAAGAACTTGGATCCTTTCGACGAATATGAAGATGAGGTGAGTTCTAGATTCAATGTGAATTTTCGATGTATATACATTGAAGCTGACATGGCAAGAAAAGATTCTCTTTCGAGACAATATCAAAATCGTTATTATCTGAAATGAAATCTCCTAGGCATTATACCCCATAATCTCAACTGGAACTGTAATATAATCTCATTTCATAACGAATTTTTTCATTATCTTGATTTGAGTTTTTTGTTGACATTGACATTGAGAAGTCATATAAGAATTTTGTGCTTCAAGATCGCCGGGCCGCTTAAACTGAGGAGCTCCAAATCCAAATTTTGAGTACCATTGCTGTTCAAATCAAGCAATTAGTGCACATAATAGCTGACAAGCAAATCAAGAGTGCATGAAATTTCAAATTATCATAAATTATCAAAATCCTTTTGAAATCCATTTGGTTCAAGAACTAGATGAAGATGACCCAAATCGAAGACTTCAATTTTGTGCAATATCAAAACATTTCATTTCCATAAAATCCAATTTCATCTATCGGATATGCTTCAGTGCTGAGGCAAGCTGCTGACAGACATAACGCTGATACTGGAGTGATCGCAGCCTTGATGGATTGTAAACACCCATACACAAGATCCTGAGGAATCAAACGTATGGGCCGGAATTGTGGATAATACGGTAATTGGTCCTTTCTTCATCGACGGAAGTCTTACTGCTATTGAAGCTGCTATTGAAAATGGAAGTTTGTGCATTGATGCTATTGTTCAGCCGTGGAGCACCTCCACAACTGCATGTTCCTTTAAAACAATTCCTAGACGAGAAACTTCCTGGTCGTTGGTTTGGGCGTAGAAGGCGACCGCGCTCTAATTGACTCCTTCTCGTAGGGTCATATAAAGTGGACACTATTTGGAATGAAACCAGCAAACTTGCAAGAACTATGATAACGATTCACAGATCTGTGCCCTACTATAACATCAATAATTCAGACAACGTAAGAACGGAATTTCAAAGTAGATTATATTATTGTCATTTCGAATATCTTATGAAATGAAATGAAAATATTTTTCATGACTGCATTCATTATTAATCTTCCTCAATAGTCAGAAACGGGTAACCGAAAAGACCTCTAGTTTATGAATCATCCTTTGTTTCTTCAAGGCCTGCAGAATTAGATACTCATCTATGTATATTTCCATTTGCCATCCTTGAAAGGGTGAATTAGTTGTCAATGCGTTAATAAGTGGATTTCTCCGTATACAAGTGATCACCGAAATTTCATTTTTCTGTCGGAGCCTGTATAAGACTTTTCGGACACCCGGAATAAATGGTTTTTATCAAAAGTTTCTGTGATCAAGTGTGTTCTATTTCATTTGTTCCATGTAGCAGTGATTGTTTTAAAGAAATAAAATGAATTGCATCTGCGTGATATCCAAAAATATGCTGATGAGGAGTTGAAGATATTTTTGAGAAGAGTTTATATTTGTGTATTTGAGAGTTTCGTTTTTCATTCGGAAGTTTCCATTCTCCAAACGAGTATATTGATTGAGAAGTAGAAAGCCAAGAAGAATATTTTTACGAATAACTTATATTGAAGAGTGACAACAAATCTGCTACTCTATTTATATTCAGATTTGAAAATCATCTGAAGATGGCTTGCATTCTTGATAAAATCGTAATTTGCTATTCTAGGTATTTGCTACCAAATAATGTTCACTCTGAAATATTTCAATAGAAAATTCAATTTATCAACTCTAAATCCATGAGGAATCCCCTAAGGATCATGAAATTTGAAATAAAAGTGTGTACTTTTAGGAGATATTGGGAAAGAAAGGTTTTGGTTTTCTATTTTTTTATTTTGATACAAAAATATAGGAATCTTCCAAAGAAAGGAAGCAATCAATTTCAAAAAATTATTTTTATAAAAATAAGTGTTGATCATGCAAAGAAGTAACTTTCAGATACAAACTGAAGAAAAAAGCCCTTTCGAAACAGCTATTTTCATATAAACATTAAATTACACAAAAAAATACTTTGGAAAGAAAAACATATGAACGCTGAATTATACGAAAAACACTTTCCTCTATCCCGTTTGTATTTTAATGGAATCGAATCAGATATCATTCACAGGATTCCTACACAATATAGTGAGTGAAAGAAGTAAAATTTCACTGAGGATACACTACAAAAACACACTTCTGTCTATTTTCCACTATATAGTGGAAAATAGACAAAAGTGTGTTTTTGTAGTGTATCCTCAGGAAAATAGACAAAAGTGTGTTTTTGTAGTGTATCCTCAGTGAACATGAATTTCCACAAAATAAACAAGTCGTCAATCGAAGAAGTAAAATTTCACTGACTGTCATTCTCACTAGTAGACATCTGATGTTTCACCGTAAGACACTTGCCTTATCGACACTTCAGTACCAAATACGGATAACATTATAAGGAAAAATACTTATTTCGTTCATAAAACTACAACTTATTTTCACGAAATGAGTTGAATCCACCCATATCATCGATGACAGTACGTAAATAATATTCATTCGCTTATTTGAGCGCTTATTTGTTTGAATTGAAATGGTATAATTTTAGGAGAAAATAATTTTTGGGAAGATTTCCACATTTCCTGTATGTAGATGCAGAAATAGAAAGCCAAAACCTTTCTTTCCCAAAGATCATGAAATGTTCTTCGAAAAACTGTATAAGGATAAAGAGAAATATTTTTGAATAATTGGAAGATGTAAAGGTGATAGAGAATAATTTTCAAACTGTAATAATCATAAAAACTCATCAATATAGATAACTATTGAAGGTATGTTTTATCACGTATATGTTTGGTACTTAACTGTTTTTTTACTTTTGGAGTGATGATGATTGAAGGTTCATTATATTCTATCATGAATATTGAAATTTCTTTAGGTAATCTTGTTTGGTGTTACAGAAACTTGAACTCATTCATTTCATCAATTTTCTCAGGCAGGAAAACGGAAAACAATATTTTGGATGGAAATAATTGAAAATCAGATCAAACTCAAACTAGTATGATAATGTCACGGATACTCAAGAAATAAAATTAATGACTATTTTCGGGAAAGTGTTCAAAACCACACAATCGGGCTCAATATAGCTCGAAATAATTATAACTTAACTAAGTTAAGTTGGGGTTGGATTAAGTGGTTCATTACCCTTAGTTTTTTCGAATATATATTTTCGGAAAGGGGATGACACAATTTCTTGAGCATTTTGGGTTCTGAATCTTCCATAATCTGAAAAATATATAAATAAGGAATTAGCTTAAGTCAAACTGAAAAGTTCAATCCAGATGCAAACATTGGGTGGTATCAACTTTCCAGAAATCTTATTAGTCGGTTGTATTTCTGGTTACCAGTGTTACACTCCCAAGGAGCACATCTGATTTTGTTACTGCTTGTTAATACTTCCGATTACAACTTTGTTTTATTTTCAGATCCTTTGGAGTGCTCTGGAAGAGGTGGAGCTAAAGAAAGCTGTTGACGACCTTCCTTCGGGTCTGGACAGTAAAATGGCTGAAGGTGGTTCGAATTTCAGCGTGGGTCAAAGACAGCTGGTATGCTTAGCCAGAGCCATTCTGCGAAGAAACAAAGTCCTAGTTCTGGATGAAGCCACTGCCAACGTGGATCCGCATACAGACGCTCTCATTCAAACAACAATCCGAAAGAAATTTGCAGACTGCACAGTGCTGACGATCGCCCATAGGCTGCATACAATTATGGACTCTGATAAGGTGCTGGTGATGGATGCTGGTCAAGCTGCCGAATTTGGTCATCCTAATTTCAACTCATCTTCCCTAGTCATCTTCGTTCAATTCACGAATCATTTTTATTTCATTAAGGTAAAATTTGTGTCAATAAAGAATTGTCAAAAAAAATTGACGTCTCATTCTTGATGACAGATGCAACCTAATCTAAAACTGCATATTTTGCATCAAAGCAACGTAGTCTAGAACTACAACATTGATGCTTCCGTTATTGACAATGTCTCTGATATTCATATGATTCGAACTGACCATCTTCTTTGTCTTCTATGGCCGTACACTTCAAATTCATTACCTAATCCAGTAATCTTTCATTTTTGTTCGGTATGGAGTAAATTTGTTCAATGTTCAGAATCGAACAAAAATAATTCACGATAAGAATATCGAATGAAATCACATGGTAACTTGAATAAAAGTAATATAATCAAAGAATATACTTTTTATTAATATTTATTCTAAAACTAAGCATTATAAGTATCAACAAAAGTAGATAACTCGGTCCCAACTCAAAGGAGTTCAGTCTTGTGGTTTTCATGATTCAAGAAGTCCGGAATGCTTGAACATATTGTAGAAAACTCCTTTTTGGTTTCCTAACAGAGCATCTGGAGTGTCAAACTCAACGATTTGTCCGTGATCAACTACCATAACCTGAAAAATGAACCTTTATTTATTTTATCGATACATTTATCATTTTTCAAACGAGTTATAAAAGCCTAATAACACCAATAAAAAAATTAAAATTTATATAATCCAGCTATCTCACCCTGTCAGAATCAGACACAGTATTCAGTCTATGGGCAATCGTCAAGACGGTACATTCAGCGAAATTCTGTTTTATAGTAGACTGAAGCAATCCACACGTCTCTGGGTCCATATTGGCCGTGGCTTCATCCAAAACGATAATTTTACTCTTGCTGACCAGAGCTCTCACTAAACATATGAGCTGCCTTTGTCCGGAGCTGTAGTTTGAGCCGTGGTCCGAGATTTTCTCCTGTAGATTCGAGATGAGACGTTTTATATTTACCTTTTCGATAGCTTTCCATATGACTTCGTCCGAGTACCTTTCGGTTGGGTCTATGTTGGAACGAATGGTACCTGGGAATGGGAAGGATATCATGTTATGTCAGATATATTTGCATGAGTAGTTGTGTTATTCATTCATTCCTTTTCAACATGGTGTCACGTCAGTTCGGAACTGAAAGAAATGACGTTTCGTTTAACTCACTCAAGGAAAAGTACGTTTGCAACCATCAAGTTCCAGTATCATCTGTATCATAAGCAACAACACCAAACAACTGCTATGAGCAGTCCAATAATTCCGACGGTGGAAAACTTTTTCCATGGAAAATTTCGAACAAAGTGCCTCAGAGCAAGCGAAAGTGAAACCATATTTTTGGCAGCGCTTTGTTGATGACACGTTCCTGGTATGGTTATATTTTGAAAAAACACAAAACAAATTTCTTTCATATCTGAACTCTCTCGACCCAAAAATTCAATTCACAATGGAACGAAAAACCCAGGGGATTATAGCCTTCTTGGATGTTCTTGTGGACAGACGTGAAGATGGTACATTGGACCACAGAGTGTACAGAAAACCAACACCTGAACCTGAACAAAACTTTAACCATCAGCCACAACATGAGAAAGGTGTAATTGAAAAGTTGGTGCAGAGAATACGACATGATTGTGTACCTGAGAGTCCTCTTGAGGAACTCAATCACCTGAAATATGTCTCCGAAGGGAATGGGTACAGCGAAGGAAAATTCGAGCGGGTCATACGATCCAGAAGAGAGAACATCAAAGTAACCTCAGTTAGGTTGGTCAAGGGAAAAGCTTTCCTTCTCTACGTTGAAAATGTTATAGACCGGATTGGAAGAATTTTAGAGAAACACGAAATGAAACCAATCTTAAGGCGAACCAAAACTATCAGGCAAAGTCTAAGGTCAGCTGCGGACCCCAAAAAACCTTCAGCAACACCCGGGCAATGAACACCAATAAAATCTGGCTACCTCCACTCTCAGGTACACAAACAAGTAATCCAATTGAGAGAAACCAAGCCACACTCACTAATAATGATATAAAACCAGAATCAAATAGGAGCATCGTAGTTAACGCGGTCGAAACGACAGGAACAACAACTTGAGAACCAGCTTGGGTACTGCGACCGATGGCACATCGCCTTTGATAATGTTACCCGCAGTAGTAGACGAAACTTCAGTCATAAAAACCTGCAGGTCACGGCTAAAAAAAACAAGAAATAATTTTTTGAAGGACAATCACTAGACAAAGAAAACATTCAAGAGGAAAGCAGAGGAAAAGAAAGAAAACCAAAGCCAACAAAAAAAGGGACGTGAAATATCTGAATCATCTTCAGAGAGTGATGATGAAAACGATACGGAATGTCTATTCTGTGAAGGAAGCTATGCTAAAGGCAAAAAAGAAGAAGTCTGAATCAGATATATTATTTGCTTGGAATGGGGACACGATTCGTATGCTGCAAATGCATATGCTGCGTATGATGCTGACGAGTTCTCGTGTGATTTTTGTCAGAATGATAGGTTCAGTTCTGTTTAGAAACAACCGAATTTATAAAACCACACAAGAACTTGTAGAGAAGATGATATAATATGTGTTTTATGTTGGTATTTTATATTTTTTCAACCAATAAGAAATCAGTTATCTACCTTTGAAAGTTTCTTAGAGTTTGCAGATTGTTATGGTTTTCAGTTTGGAAATATGTTTGATTCATTGAAAGATATTTTTATTGAGATTATTATCATCTGATATTATTAGATTAGCTCGTATCGTTTTGATAATGTATATCTTGTTTTTATTTCCTAATCACTCAAGTGTACAAGTACCGTTTGGAGAAAATAGCAATCTCTGCGATGATAATCATACGCAGATATTGAATTCTGCCATTTGATTGGTTGTAATTGCATGGAATCTTCAATAAAAGCCATTATTATTATTATTATCGAAAAATTAGGTTACTTAGACTGATTTGTTCGATATTACAAGGTTGATGTGGTTTTAAGGACAATTTTCGATCTCTTTTATAGTTCCTCCGAAATTAAGAGACTGTTTTCGTAATAAAACTATAATAAGAAACAAAAAAAAATGTTAATTTTTTTTTTATATTTTTCCATTTGTAATTAAAGGGGTCAAATGATCTTGGGGATAGTTTTGCCCCCATGCTGAAGATCATTTTGGGCACCAGGTTGTACAAAATGATCCTTCCCTAAACTTTTACAGAAAACGAAATGAAAAAAATTACAATAGTTTAATTACCCCTATGATCAGTGATTTGTAGGATATCAAAAACCAGCTTGCTATTACATATTAGAACTTTATGGAATGTTTGATATTTTTGCTGTTACAACATTTTTCTCTTAGGGGGATTATTATGTACCACCCTCCATTACAGGTATTAGCACACCAAAGTGCCCGAGTCAACATAAATACGCTTCACGTAGTGGTAATATCCAGTCATCGGAGATAACTCAGGATATATAAACCTCAACGTATCAACTGTATCGATAGACTAATTTAGTTTACTCATCGTAAGATCATTATATTAGTGTCTAGTATGGATGTTTTCGAACTTTGACAACTATTTTACTCAAAGAACAGTTATAACTAGAGCATTCTAGAATATAATTATTGAAATATCACTCTACAAGAAGTCATTACCAAAAATTCATATTTTATTATGGTCCGAAACTGTACAACCTACTCCTAGTGGAATTGAAAACAATGGAATAAATTAATAAACTCGAATATGCCCTCAAACGATATATAATCGAAAACTGTAAAAAGTCGACATGATATATACTGAAAAAATAAATAAATTCCAAATATTGAATAATAAACAGTTCCTACCACAAGATTTTTTTCTCATACCAGCATATACACAACTCTCATATCAACTTCTTTTTCATTTCCATAAAATCTACATATTTATAGAACTCTTATATGAATGAGTAATTCAACAAAATACATGCATTCTAATGCCCAGGTGAAGGTTACGCATTCGAAATAATTGAATTCTAATCACTCAACAAATTGTACATTATTTTGAGAATGAATTTAATTTGATTTGATTCCTTGTGATGGAAATAATCACTTACCGGAAAATAAAATGGGATCCTGAGGTATAATGGCTATATTTGATCTGAGAAATTCTGAGGCCAACATTTTTGTGTCAATATTATCTATAATGATATTGCCTTCCGTGTTATATAATCTGAATAAACTGGAAATTATAGATGATTTTCCTGCTCCCGTTCTTCCCACTATACCGATTTTTTCTCTAGGCTGCAGGACGAAGTTGAGACCCTTCAAAACCTGTTTCAAATTGAAAAATATTAGTCAGTATCAAATTTTCAATCTTTGGGTTTCGTGAAACTGTTATTCGTTGGGTAATTTTAGCAATGGTCATATAAAAAAATATCATTTCATTATATTTTTGCAGACTTCCTTATCAGTAAAACTGTTTCATTAGTTCGGACTTCCATTGACTAATATGATATAAATTGATTTGAAATCCCAGAAAGAATCTGTGAACATTAAAAAGATTCGCTGGAAGAAAAACAATTATATTAAGCAAAAAAACTGAAATTACAATGAAATGAAAAACAAGCAACAACCAAAAAATTGAACTATTAACACGAGATGAAAAATGAAAAAATATTGACAAGAAATGAAAATTTATTTAAATTAAAAGATTCCAAACCAAGTTACTTCATGACGTTTCGATTGTTAGTATCCACAATCATCTACGGGTGATAACTGGACTTATTCCACCGAGATCTGACTATTTATAGGTCATTCGAGTGCTTTCACCTATTCTCTCTACCCTCTCTCCGCTTCATCGGTTTTAGCGGGAGCTGACCGTTTGGCGGGAGTTGGTCGTGTTCCGCTTGATTAGATGTTTCCATATATTGCGTATCTCTACGCTAGTATGGCTGAATGCGTTGTTGGACAACATATACGCGGCTTCTTTGAATTATCTCCTGAACCAGTGTTCCTTCTTGTGAATGATTTCAGCATTAGCCCACTTGATGTTATGTTGATGAGTCCAAACATGCTCTGTTATTCCTAATTTATTGGTTTCTCTTCGCTGTGTGTGTTTTTTGTGCTCAGCAATGCGAACTTTCAACGGCCTCTTAGTTTCACCGCACTCGCACCCCGCACTCGCAGGGTATCCGGTAAATGCAATTCTTGGAATCGCAGTCCCCTTTTGGTGGCCTGGTATTCGTGAGTCTGCTATGGATAGTGTTCCCAGATCTGAAGCAGGTTCTGATGTTATACTTAGACCCGATAAGAGACCTAATTCTTCTTATCCTTTCCGACAATCCTCCGATGCAGGAAAGTACAAGTATTGGCGGCTTCTCTTCTTTGCGAGACTCTTGCTGTTTTTAAGCTGAAGTCTGTAGGTCATTTTCGATGATGCCTAGTTCCATTTCGAGACTTTCCTTTGTATTACAGAGCTCGAAAGCACGCTCTAGTAGAGTCTTAATGATTCCTCTCTTAATCGATTGATGGTGGTTGGATTCCTGGTTCAGATACTCTCCCAAGTGAGTGGGTTTTCGGTATATAGATGTTTCACATTCAGTGTCGGTCCTCTTCACCAAGAATGGCAATTCGTTGTGCGGGAACTGTAAAACTAATCAGTAATAATCTCTCATTTGTACTTCATTGTCTGATTCTTATCGACAAATTTCAAGAAAACATGAATGTTACGATGAAATCAGCTCGTGAAAAGAACATACATAAAATATTTTATGAGACATATGATGGCAGTGTGAACCATCGAACTGAAATAAACATTGTAGATAGCTTTTCTTCCTGACAATAATCAACAGGCCTGCTCAGCAGTATAAACACGCCCGAGGAAGCTATTGCTTAGTGAAACACTTGTTGCGTGAAGTGTTGCGTGTCTGAAGTGTTCAGTGACAATCCCACAATGAAGTGTTGCCTAAATAGGCCTGAAATCGTTGAGACTGGTACCTAATAATAGGTTTTCAGATGCCTCAGAAAAATGTGACCTGAAGTATGTGAATATCGACAAATGTTCCATTTCAAATAGTACGTTCTTCACTCTCTCACGTAAAGGCGGATTTCCACCAAACTGACTCGCTTGCGACTAGTTGCGACAGAAACAAAAAAGTTGTTTCAGTTTCTAAAACAATTTGAGTTCCATCACACAGACAAGAACTACTTTGAATCGCGTCTTTTGTTGTGTAACCAAAAAAACCAAGATATCGGATGAGATCATTGTTAAGAAGACGAACAGATTATGGAACGGATCAAATTATGGCAGATTTGATAAATGATGACATAGGAGAGAATGAAGTACTGAGATCATCGAAATTAATGTCCACCACAAACTAAAACTTCAAATAAAGTAATAATGACACATGAAGTCATACACCTAAAGTTAATTGTGAATTGAATAATTGCTTCTTATTGTCGCTTGTTGTCGCCGACCATTTTCACATATCGAGCTCTGTTCACAAAAACACAGACAGAAAGTACACCGAAACCTTTTGATCTTTCCGCCTGCCGACGGAAAATTTCATTGTTGACAAAAACATTCGTCAGCGACAAAAAGTCTTCAATTCTATCAAGACACTTCATAATAAAATAAGCATCAACTCCAGTATTAATTGAGCAGATGCTCAAAATGTAAAACAAGTATTTATAGCCTATAGTTAAAATTATTTCTCACGTTACTCAACATTTCCGGTGAAATGGATTTAGGGTTTTAATAAGGTTTCATGCGTATCTTCAAATCATTTGAACTATCTGGTTCAGTTTGATGCTCTTAATTTTTCACATGTCCTCATAAATGAATCCAGTAGTTTCAGATCCGGTGATATTGCTGGCCATTCCATCACGCCGCGGATATACTTTTCCAAGGAATTATTGTTTCATTGGCGAAAAGTGAAAATTCTATAATGAACTTTCATGAAGTTTAAGAAATTCATCACATTTTTGACAATACTCCACCTAAAATAGACGAAAAGAATTACCTGTTGCTTTGTCGTGGTGTAAGTGAGCGAAAGATCCTTGAACTCAATCATGCCTTTATCGGGCCAGTTGTCCTTAACGAGTCCTTTTTTTCTGTTCTCAGTTTCGATGTCAGAGTATTCGAGGACTCTTTCTATAGCAGTCATATTGTTTTCAATTTCAGAGTACATTCGAACAGTACCTTGAAGCAGTCCCATCAGAGCGTTAGCTTGTGAAATCGCCAGAGCGACTGATCCAACAGGTGAATCTGAAATTCAATTTCAGGAAATACAAACAAGAAGGTATAGAGTAAATTTCAATATATCTATTTTGAACTTTGACATGTTTGTTTTTAAGACAAAACACAAGCAGTACAGAAAAATCCTTAAGGCGCTATCAGAGCGGTGCCTGTGTGGAAGTAGCGATTCACATTGGATTGGACTTCTCAAACAGTGAAGTTCGAGGTGTACTGAGTTGAACATCTGAAAGATAAGCAGCCACAGTCCGTCGCGTATTTCAGAGATGTACTGCTCTTGGTGGAAACAAATGTACCAAGTCACTTGAACACCTTCAGTGAAAGTATCTATAGAAGAGAGACAAATCTCCAACCTTTCTTCGATGTTCCAGGCTATTAAAGTTGCACATGATGTTCGCGTCTTCAATCAGGCGGATGGCTCTTTCTGGATGGAATCCAGAAAGTTCACGGTATGTTTGCGGGCAGAGTTCCATACATGAGAACAACACTTCAAATAGGGTCTAATATGAGTTATTTCATCTGATGTTTTGCTCGATAAGATGATAGACGTATCATCTGCATAAAGGTATACATTACCATAACTTATGTAATCAGGAAAATCATTGACATACAGTAAAAATATCAGTGGACCAAGAATATTACCCCTGGTGTTCCAGAATACTCGTCAGATAATGTATTATTCTGTTTCACTTTGGAATATCGATTACTCAAGAAGAACACGATGAGCCTATTGATATTGCCTCTGATACCAATGTTGAAGAGTTTTTTAGAAATTATTCCAATACTCAGAGTATCGAAAGCTCTACTTAAGTCGAAAACAAATCCCACAACGACTTTTTTCTCATTGATTGAATCATGGATTTGTTGAACCAATTCGAGTGTTGCTGTTTCCGTTGAACGATGTTTTCGAAAGCCATGTTGGCACTCCAAAAAACGAAACATTCGTGATCATAGGTCTTAACAGTGGTATTTGGTACTTGGCTATGCAGAAACCGCGGTAGCGACCTTGTTTATATAGGCTTAGCATGCTATGATTCTTCTAACGATCTTGTAGAAAAGCGTCTACCTAGGAGCAAATGTCTGTGCTTACTTCCACTTATTCCTGCAAGTTCAATTTTAGTGGATGCAGAAATGGTATCCAAACTGAGCATCAAACAGGTTTATTTATATTTAGAACCTCTTCAGTTTCGACTTCGGACTGTTGTTGTTCATAAGGACGATCGTTGGTTAACAAAAAAACATATTAACAACTAGTTTCAGTGCTCGGTTTGAGATGTAATAATTGTTCACACGATTTACGTGAAAAAAATGTTTAGGGTGATAATTTGTATTTACCTGGGTTGAAAAATACAAAATGGACCACCACTGCTGAAAGAAGAGTTGAACAAATCATATCTATGGTAAATCCAAACGCCCTGCTGGTACATATCATCATATAATAAGCTGACGTATGGTGGTCCAGATGCCTATCGAATTCTTCTATTAGCAGAGGTTCCTTTTCATAGGCTCTGACAGTGGTCAATCCCTCCATGGTGGCGTTGAAATGGCCGATGAAAGGGCTTCTTGCTGAAAGTTTGAATTTCAGATTTGGAAACTATGCTTAGGAAGACGACTTGATTGTAATGACAACTATGACAAGTTTTGTAATACTCACTAGAAGCGTCTAATCTCTTGATATTTCTTCCAGTTGAAATATAGAATCTTCGAAGGAAGTATAGGAGGATTATCAGGATGACTACCGGTAACAGGAAAATTAAATGTGCCGAAACTAATAAAAACATTATGGACAACACTTGAAGGGTTCCCTGTGAAAAAAAACAGTAATTGAAAGTTTGCCGACAAGGAAGACTGTGTTGAAAAATAATAAAAAATATTTGTAATCATTACGTTTCTACTTCGGCACACTTTTACATTGAAAAAGTGTATTTTGATGTTGAAGTAAAAATGATACGAAAATAAACCCTGTCAAGATTTTTCAAGAGAATGAAAGTACTCAAGTAGTTGAAAAAAAAACTTAGATTGTTCGAATTTATCGAGTGAAAGATTTTGATTTGGTCCACTTACAGTCAAACCGAGAGAAATATCTGATTGTTTTATTGGTAATATTGGTCTCATGAACTACAAAACAGTATGGCAGTAAACAACACCCAAGAAATTCTCACACCTCCTTTATTTCTCAGACCGTTTTCACCTTATGAATTATTTAATCTGCTCAGTGTTAGGCTGAAGAATAAAACATCTGCAGGTCCAGATGGAATATCCCACTATCGTTTTAAAAAAAGTTATGAATGTTTTAATAGAACCTTTGACACTTTCATTGGATCTTTCATTCGAATCAGGAAAAGTTCCCACAACCCTCAAGAAAGGAAAAGTCATTCCTATTTATAGAAAACACTGTCCCGATTACTTAGAAAATTATAGACCTATAACGATTTGCAGTAGTTTCTCGAGAGTGTTCGAATATGGATTTTTGGACAGACTGATGAATTTTATCAATGAGCATAATATTTTGACAAATAGTCAGCACCTGGTAAATCGACAACTGGCGCAATCTATGAGTTCTATGACAATCTCATAAACCATATAGAACAAGGAGAGGTCCAAATGGGCTTTTTCTGTGACCTGAGTCGAGCTTCTGACTGTGTGGACCACGATGGTCTTTCATCAAAGTTGTATAACTATGGTATTAGAGGTGTTTGTCTGGAATGGTTAGTATCATTTATAAGATGTCGCTCTCAGTATGTGAGTCTGAAACATCGTCAAAATAATATAATTCGTAATGTTACATCTGCCAATACCGATATTAACGTAGGTGTTCCACTGGAGACTCTACACTGTCGAATAACGTCCTCGTATCACAAAAAAAAATCATTAGGTGTATTGCTAGTGTGAGAAAAGACTATTCTTGTCGAGAAATCTTCAAAAGATTTGAAATTCTGACCTGTACAGGCCTCTACGTATTTGAAATCTGTATTTATGTGCTCAAAAATAGGGTTTTGTTTTTCATAAATAAAGATTTCCAAAAAAACAACACACGTCGTGAGGATGATTTACGATTACCACTCTCTAAACGCAATATAATATAATAACTCATAGATGACTGACTGACTGACATTGTGATTTATCAACGCACAGCCCAAACCACTGGACGGATCGGGCTGAAATTTGGCATGCAGGTAGATGTTATGACGTAGGCATCCGTAGGCTATGAAAGTTTTTATGAAACTTTGTCAATTTTAAACCGATAGGGCTGAGACTTTGCATGCATAAAGCTACTATGACGTAGGCATCCCCTAAGAAAGGATTTTGATAAATTCCACCCCTAAGGGGATAATACTTGAGGGGATAAAATAAGGGATGATGGAGTATGTAAATGTATCAGTTTGAACCTATCAGTACCTAATGGAACGAATAAATTAAACGAACAAAATAATTTTTAGTTATAAATGTTGACAATAGATGGCGTTAGTAGTATTTTAAAACGCTCTATCGTTGTTTTCACTGAGTTACATATATGAATGGACTGCTTCAAAAAAGTCTGTCCGTTTGATTGTCATCTGTTTTTGTAGCTCCATATCTCAATGAATATTTATTCTATCGCCTGGCAAAAAAACCAGTCACCAAGAGTGTATCATTATACAAAAATTGAATCAACTGGACTACCACTTATCCTTAAGCCAAAATGAACCCTTGCGGGTTGCGGTGGAGGGTCGAATAGACTCACTTACTTTGGACCTAACCTAACCTGACGTAACCTAACCTAATCTAAGCTTACCTAACCTAACATAACCTAACTACCTATCCTTCGAGAGGACATCAAGAACAGATAGTTGTTGATTCATAGATGAATCGAAAACACCTTCCGGTTCTGGCGCAGGTGTTTTCAGGACACAGATATCAACCTGCCTGGAACCTATGCGACTGTATTTCAAGTGGAAATTTATGCTATTGAATTGTGTGCAGAGAGATTGGAAGAATCCAGCCTCATACACAAGTCAATAAAAATATTCTCGGTCAGTCAAGCGGCGTTGGAAGCTCTTGGCTCCTACCGAGCAACGTCTGAATTGGTAGCAAATTTCCAAAAACGACTCTCCTCGATAGGAAGACTAACAGATTGTCTCTGGTCTGGATTCCCAAAGCAATGAGGCTGCTGACTCTCTTGCAAAGAAGGGTGCGGCAAGCAGCTTCATCGGACCAGAACCTGTCATTGGCATCGCTTCAGGCGTTGCCAAATACAGATTGAACATCTGGATGGCAAGAAGATTTTTGGACTTCTGGCAGAATTTTGCGGGATTGGCTCACTCCAAGGCTTGATACCAAACAGTTGGACTACTTACAGTAGGAGTGAACTTTTTGGTCGAGTGTGAATAGGTGTGCGCCACAATAAACCCTTGTGGGTTGCGGTGGAGGGTCCATTAGACCCACTTACTTTGGAGTTAATCCAACCTAACTACCTGTAATACTGAATGAAATATGAACAGAAATTACAATGTTCCATTTGCTACCCTGATTAAAACTTATTATAGGTACGACACTGGCCGGCAAGGGGATTATCGTAATCCAATAGTAATTCAGTTGGGAGAGTTTATACCTGCGCGATCACTCGCCATCACGTTTGGCGCTCGCTATTCTATATTTCAGAATTATACAAATCGTGAAGGACTTGCAAAGAGCTATTGAGAATAAAGTATGAACAAACCTGTCTAAAACAACCTCAATCTTTGTTTGGTTAACAATATAAATAACTGGAAAACTCACCCTCATAATCTCATAAACAATGAGAGGTATAGTCTCGTCAATCGTGCCAACATCCTTGGAAAATCTGTTGATGATATTTCCAATGTAATGACCGTCAAAGAATGTCATGAACGAATTCAATACTGAATGTGTTATCCAGTCATGGAGGTTTTTCGAAGCTTTCATCGAGAAGAAAAATGTCAGGTAGGTTCTAGCGAAGGTGAGAACAACTGATGTGAGGATCAAAACGGCGTAAAGGTTCAGATAATGGTTTCGTTTTGAAATAGTTTCGCTGAATATAGTTGAATTCGTTTCATTTGCCCGTACTAGATCTGTTATGGTTGGTTCAATATTAACCCTGAAACATATAAAAAAAAATATTTCAGATTAATATAAAATATAAACCATCACAACTTATTTTACAGAACTATAAATTACATCTATGAAGGATCGTGGCTATTTAAGTTCTGGGAAGTTCTAGAAGGACGACTAAAATGATGAGCTGTCTTTTAGCATAACAAGAGCATCAAATACGAAAAAAGATACAGAAACAACAGCTTGTATTGAGTGATTGCAGTATGGTGAATTAGTCGACTATCCAGTATTGTTTCCAATCTGTGGTAGTTGTGTTCAATTCTATTTTCAGTTTAGTATAACTTCTTTTACATTTTAGTGGAGGCGGTAAGGAATTGTAGAGTTTTGGTCCAATGTATGTAATTGTTATTTTCAGTTATTCAATTTAATTTTCAATTTTATTGGTTTCTTCAGGGATTTCAAATCATTTTATATCATAGTAGATAATTGGAGTTCGAACTGATGAAATTCACCATGAAACATTGTCAGCCACCTCTAAACAAACCATGGTAACATTGGAGATACGGTGTCGTTGGGATACAAGAAACAAAAAACATTGGCTAATAATTCAGTGCTGATGTCTGTAGGTGAAATGAAAAATAAGGGAGTTCAGGGAAGTTTTCAATTCTTTGAATATAAAGAAGATGAACGATGAGGGTGGTCTGAAAAGTTTCTGACATCAACTTGAAGATGGCAGCACTCATAAACTATTGAATTTCGTTGTTCATATGTCGATAGTTACTCATCAAAGTTCATGCCGAATTTCACTAGTTCGGACTTCCATTGTCTAATATGTGAAATGATTTGAAATCCACGAAACAACTGAAAAAGAAGAATTATTAATAAATAGCTGAAAATAACAATTATGTTAAGCAAAAATAACGTGAAATGAAATAATAGTGAAATAAAATACAAGTAAAACTAAAACGATTGAACAAAAAATAGGGAAATGCAAATAAATAAAAAAAAAGTTAAGAGATTACACGTTAGTTCACGACGTTTCGATTGTTGGTATCTACAATCGTCTTCGGGTGATGACTGGACTGATTCCTCCGAGAGATGACTATTTATGAGTCGTTCGAGTACTTTCACTTATCCCCACTTTCCATTTTTCCGCTTCACTGGTTCACTGGGAGATGACCGTTTGGCGGGAGTTGGCCATTTTTCGCTTGATGATGGGTTTCCATATATTGCGTATCTCTACGCTAGCTTGTCTGAATACGTTGTTGGACAGCATGTATGCGGCTTCCTTGAATTTTCTCCTAAACCAATGTTCCTCTCTGTGTATGATCTCAGCTTGGGACCACTCGATGTTGTGTTGATGGGTCCAAACACGGTCTGATATTCCTGATTTGCTGGTTTCCCCTCGCTGGGTGTGTTTCTTGTGTTCGGGAATGCGAACATTTAATGGCCTCTTAGTTTCACCAATATAGAATTTTCCGCACTCACAGGGTATTCGGTAAATGCAATTCTTGGAATCGCAGCCCGCGTTTGGTGGCCTGGTTTTCGTGAGGCTGCTACGGATAGTGTTACCAGATCTGAAACAGGTTCTGATGTTGTACTTGGAACCGATTCTTCTTATCCTCTCCGATAATCCTCTGATGTAGGGAAGTGCAAGCACTGGAGTAGTCATTTCGTTGAAGATCATTTTTGATGATGTCTAGTTCCTTCTCGAGACCTTTCTTCGTATTACAGAACCCGAAAGCACGGACTAATAGAGTCTTAATGATTCCTCTTTTAGTTGATTGATGGTGGTTGGATTCGTGGTTCAGATACTGTCCCGTGTGAGTGGGTTTTCGGTATACAGATGTTTCCCACTTAGTGTCATCGGGTGATTGCAATCACCGGACGTCTTGGTGGGGAGAAAGCATCGGGAATTCAGGGGTTTCCAGGCAGTTGGAAGTATCTGACCGTCATCACGTTTGTTCGAACAGAAAGGTCACCAAGACGTCCGGTGATGGTGATCACCTGAAGCCACGCCCCCACCTTTCCACTTCAGTAGCTTCTGTCAATATAAATGCCACCGAACACCCATCGACACCCCAGTTCAATCTAAGGAGTAGGCAGATAGAGACCTCAGAGAGAACTCATGACGCGACCTGGGGACTAGGCAGATTGGGGCCCCGGCGTCAAGCCTCATCCAATTTTCGAAGATGGTTCAAAAACGCGAACCGAAACGTCGAATACAAAACTCCAGACCTCATTTTTACTTTGAAAGTGAAAAATATGTTTTTCTTTGTTTCTTGGATTTGAATAAACGTAAAAAACTACTACAATTTTGTATCTCCAATAATAACAAAGCTTTCAGTGGTGTGCACAAACTTTTGATCAACCAACTGAGAACAGAAGTACTGATCTAAGTTTTCATTTGAAGAAATATCACTCATATTTCTGAGTTTCTTTTTGATTTTTTTTCAGAAACAACGTCGTGAATCTCATTTTCAACCTCCTGGTCCCTCTCTTCTTCAAAATAGCTGTTATCTGTGTCATCCATATAATAAGTGACCCGTTTTTCCAATGTTTCCTGCTGCTCTTCCAAAGAAAGCGTTATCCCATTCTTCATGAATAACAAGTTATGACCGTAAACGAGCTTGATGTGGTTGATATTGGTGGTGACAAGTATAACAATCTTCGTCTTCAGGAACTCCATAATGCACTTCCTGAAGACGTAGAGGTTGACGTGGCTGTCTAGATGCGACAAGCAGTCATCTAACAGGTAGATGTCGCTGTTTCTATAGACGGCTCTTGCCAAGTTGATCCTTGTTTGCTGGCCCTTGCTCAAATTAACACCCTTATCCCCTACTATTGTTTGGTCACCGTTCTCAAATTTGCTGAGGTCTTCTTTCAAGGCGCATACTCTCAAAACCTCGTTGTACCTTTTTTCATCGTATTCCTGTCCAAAAAGGATATTCTGTCTGATTGTAGAAGGGAATAACCAGGGATCTTCGGCGGTATAGGAAATACTGCCGTCAACCGCCAATTGTCCACTGGCGACGGTACACTCTCCCAAGATAGTCCTCAGCAGCGAACTTTTTCCACTACCAACACTTCCAGTCACCAGATATAGGCCCTTTTCCACTGACAGAGACACATCGGTCAGCACCTCAGAGTCCTTGACTTTTGCTGAGACGTGGTTGAGATACACTTTGGGTTGGGCGATGCCCCTTGGTGGGGATGCTACTTCTTTCGAGTTCAAAAACTCATTGAGTCTATTCAAGGAAGCGTAGACTTCGGATATGTTGGATATACCCAAAGGGATTGAAGCTATGATGAAGGATTTGATGTTGCGGAAGAGGGCTTCAATGAAGAAGACAGTTCCAGCGTTCGTATAGTGTCCGGTCCATATGTAGGTCAGGATGATGAGAGCAAATGATAGGTTGGACGCCAAGGAGCCTATGATGAGTACGATGCACTTCAAATAGTATACGGGGGCCAGTTTCTTCAACTCTTTGCTGAAAAAAAAACCGTTCACGTATTATAAAAATATTCTGTTGCATGGATGAACGTTTAAGAGTCTTCTGCAGTAACTGTATGGTGACAACATAATATTGAATGAATGAATTAGCCATTTGTTCGTCATTTGTTACCACAGTTTAGAGAGATTCAAAGCATTTCCGTCAACTGTGATAATAATTGAAAATAAAACTAGTTAGCTCTCCTGCGTGTGTCCATATCATTTAGTATAATATATTATACATAATAATATTATTACAACCCATCAGTGAGTGCATAAGGTTCAACTCAGTATGTGGGTGCTTCTTTTGTGACTTTCCATGCTCAAGTTTAGGTGAAAACACCATACCCTCATACAGTTGCTTCTCATGTGAACCTACACGTAGGTAGGTACGTGTGACAGATATCCAACGAAACAACAACAATTAACCTAGCTGATGCCGCGTACAAAGCTGAAGTAAAACCATCAGGCACCTATGCAACGTCTTCCACTTGGAAGATTCGTCGCACAGGCTTTCAAACTGGAAGCATGTTATAGAGTTTTGAACCAAAATAGAAAATATATCTGTATGTGTGGCTTTTCCTGAATGTTGGTACTTTGTTGGAGAGATGTTCCACTGATGTAGTTTGTCTTTCATTCGATGTTTTTTAAATCTGTGTATTTATAAACATCCATACTGGACATTATTGAGAGTATAGGCATCGTAGATGCCTATACTGTACAGTTTTTCCGTAGAGTGAAGTCTTCTAGATAATATTTCAAGAATGATGTTTTGGATAGGTTGTAATCGACATAGGGTGTTGTTATACAGGGTGGGCCATCGAAAACTTGACATGGAGGTTTTGGGTACTGATCTTGCATATCCGAAAGAACGCCCAGACAGGTCGATTTTATTTGGGAGGGGGACAGTTTTTTCCTCATCTACAGCATCGTCACTATAAACCCGAAGCAGAGGGATGAACAACCCTTGGAATTTTAATAGGGAATGGGGGACGAGTCGTACATCGTTTGAAAGACCTTGGAATTATCTAAGAAATGCTGAACATTTTTTTAAATTTGGATGTACTCAAAAAAGTTCTTTCCAATAATCAACTTTTACAATGTTGTTAGTAGCAACAAATTGTTGTACGCCACTGCTCAGTTGGAATGTATTTGGAACTCTTTCATTTGTTCCTTACGCTACTTTCTTGTTGGTTTTTCAGTTCTTCTCTGATAAGAGGACTATTACAATTGAGAAATGGTTAAAAATGCTGTTTCTATTTCTCATTTTTATGTTAAAAATTATATATACATTATTACTAGTAGTGAGTGACGTAAAGTTTTGCTAGAGAAACAATGGTTTACACAACTGCAGAGAGGGTTGAGTTAATTGAACTGTACTATAGAAATAGACGTTATGCTGCGACAGCCGCTGAACTATTTAATCAACAACATGGAAAGAATGTGTCGCGGCAGTATGTTTTCGATTTAATTGCAGAATTCCGCGCAACTGGATCGGTGGCAAATAAAAAACGGCAAATCGAACCACCAGTAACAAATGAGGCGACACAAGTGGCAATTCTGGGCCATGTTAAGCTTGACCATACTTTGGGCACAAGAAACTTAGCATTTGTTTCCGTGGTGTCACAAACTAGCATTCGGCGTATTTTAAAAACCCACAAAATGCATCCTTACAAGATTAAATTAACGCAAGAACTAAATGGAGATGATTTCGATCTACGCTTGCAATTTCGCGAGTTGGTTAGTAAACGAGCGGTGAAAAATACACATTTTGTTTTCAACAATTGCTTCAGTGATGGATGCTCTTTTTTTCTAAATGACACAGTTAATCGCCATAATTGTCGCTATTGGGCTGATTCAAATCCTCATATTTTTCATAAAGTGCATACTCAACGTCCACAAAAATTAAATGCATGGTGGTCGTATTGTTGGCCCATTGTTTTTAGAAGGCAATTCAACCGGACAAATGTATCTGAAACTTCTGGAAGATACTATTAATCCCCTTCTCATTGATACTATTGAAAATGACCACAATTATCGGGAGGATCTGTTAATTTTTCAACAAGATGGAGCTCCTCCGCACTATGCTCTGCCTGTTCGGCAGTATTCAGATTAGACTATTTCGGAGCTCTGGATTTGGAGGCGGAGCACTATCGAATGGCCAGCACGATCACCACACCTTACGACCTGAGATTAGTACCTTTATGTCAAGTTTTCGATGGCCCACCCTGTATATTATACTAGTAAAAATGTTTCTATTCGAAGTATAATTATTTCATTCGTGTTAACAAATCTTCTGTTTTATGTGCTTTTATATAAAAGCCAAAAACTGTACAAATGAAAATTTTTGGAGGTTCATCACAGAAATATGATGGATGGGAATTTGCACGAAGTAATATCCACAAAAAGTTGAGGAGATATGTTATTGAATGAATGTTACTTAAGAAATTCATTTGGTCTATGAGATATTTGGTATTATTACTGAAGTAGACTTCATAAGAGTAGATCCCAGTAACTTGCAATTTTTTTCTTATCAAACTTTGTCAATGAAAAATCAATTATTCTAAAATGTTCGTGATTTGATACACCATAGATTTGGTCATAAAACTGTTTTTGAACTGACTTTCTCAAAATAATGGGATGAATTTTTGTTCAATGCGAAGTACATTCCTTCCTAAATGAAGTATAGTAATTTCTTTGGTAATTGTCTTTGGTAACAAACAAAGTATTCATGTTCCATCAACAGAAATTTTCTGCTGTAATTTGAAATTATTCATTTATTCACTTTACATTTGATTTTTTTTTCAACTGGTCTGTGTTTATTTGATACAAATAGTCTGTGTTAAGATACTATTTTTGCTTGCAGTAAATGGAGTATTTATCTGTCCTATATTTCAAAATGATTTATTTATGTAATTCAAATACATATCTGTCAGCAGCAATGTGTAAATCCTTTCAAGAAGTGATTCTCAGGACATGAATTCTGCTTCAAGCCCCCAAAATTATTGATTATTTGGAAAATAAATTCATTCTATTTCATTTGATGGCATATTTTTTCTTAAATTCCGACACATCAATATAAAACTAATGATGATGATTTGTTTTTGACAAATCTCAAAATACAAAATGCATTTCAATAAAGCAAACACTTATATATTATGTAATGGGTAATGCATTATGGTTAATTAGCTTTAATAATCCCACCGCAAATTATGAACAGCGGAATAATGTGGGTAAACCGCGTTTACGAATTGTTATTTGATAACATACTGATGATTTATCATTTTCCAATGACTAAAGAATGCAAATGACGATATTTACCGGTATGGAAAACACAAAGAGCGATGTATAAAAAATCTTTGTTACCTTCTGACATCATTGATTTTATTCTCAAAGAAGAGCTCCCACGAATACATTTTGACAATCTTGATCGCTGATAGTGTTTCCGTTGTCAACTGTATTCTTTCGTCTGTACTTTTTGCTGACTTCATTCGCATCATGCTGGTTTTCTTGCCGACATATACTGAAAATTCAAACGAAAGACTTGTATAATGCGGCATTCATGTCAGGAATCCCATTTCAATATCTATATCGTTTCACGAAACAAACACAGCTGCAAAACACTTGAACTGCAACACTCTTTTAGACGCGCGTTTCATCAACCAAGTTGGCGTCTTCAGGATGTGAAGTGGACAGTCGGGAATTGTATTGCAGTTCTGGTATTTGGGGTCAGTGTTTGTTTTAAATTTATTCTATGGTATTGGTATTGCTCCAAAAACAGTTTAACACGTTTATAATAACTTCCAGTAGAGATATTATGTGGCATCCATATTGATACGGATTTATTTATTTTCAAAAAAGTGAAGACTGACATTGAATTTTGCAAACTTAAAGGTACATTATTATTCAACTACAATGTTTAAACTACTGCCCTAAGCTGTTCTGCTTGTAGGAAGTTTTGAAATATATATTTTCTGATCTTTCAAAATAATGGACTCGATACATCAATGATATTGGAAACTATCACAGAAATACTTGTGGGAAGCTAGTGAGTCTGGTTAGTTTCTGAAAATATATCTATTATCATTTTTGGAAATGAAGTTGATTCACAGGTGTTCAAACAAGAATACTCCGCAAGATTTTAATTAATGACCATACTATACAATTTAGCGAAAGAGTAAAAAACTTGTGGATATAGTTTGATGAAAACTTAAAATTTTCGCACCATATCAGTAACTATTTACAGAAAGCTTATGCAGCTCTGAAACTTACATTTGAATCTCGTCATGTGTTGGATAGCTCGGTGAAAATCCATCTATGAGAGTCATTAGTATTATCTAAATTGAATTTCTGTGACATTTCGTATCACAAAAAAATCATTAGGTGTATTGCTAGTGTGAGAAAAGACTATTCTTGTCGAGAAATCTTCAAAAGATTTGAAATTCTGACCTGTACAGGCCTCTACGTATTTGAAATCAGCATTTATGTGCTCAAAAATAGGGATTTGTTTTTCATAAATAAAGATTTCCAAAAATACAACACACGTCGTGAGGATGATTCACGATTACCACTCTCTAAACGCAATATAATATAATAACTCATAGATGACTGACTGACTGACATTCTGATTTATCAACGCAAAGCCCAAACCACTGGACGGATCGGGCTGAAATTTGGCATGCAGGTAGATGTTATGACGTAGGCATCCGCTGAAAAAGGATTTTGATCAATTCTACCCCCAAGGGGATAAAATAGGGGATGAAAGTTTTTATGAAACTTTGTCAATTTTAAACCGATCGGGCTGAGACTTTGCATGCATAAAGCTACTATGACGTAGGCATCCCCTAAGGAAGGATTTTGATAAATTTCCCCCCTAAGGGAATAAAATACCTAAAATACAAAATGTATCAGTTTGAACCTATCAGTACCTAATGGAACGAATAAATTAAACGAACAAAATAATTTGTAGTTATAAATGTTGACAATAGATGGCGTTAGTAGTATTTTAAAACGCTCTATCGTTGTTTTCACTGAGTTACATATATGAATGGACTGTTTCAAAAAGTTCTGTCCGATTTATTGTCATCTGTTTTTGTAGCTCCATATGTCAATGAATATTTATTCTATCGCCTGGAAAAAAACCAGTCACCAAGAGTGCATCATTATACAAAAATTGAATCAACTGGACTACCAGTTATCCTTAAGCCACAATAAACCCTTGCGGGTTGCGGTGGAAGGTCGAATAGACTCACTCACTTTGGACCTAACCTAACCTAACGTAACCTAACCTAACCTAATCTAAGCTGACCTAACCTAACATAACCTAACTACCTATCCTTCGAGAGGACATATTAAGAGCAGAAAGTTGTTGATTCATAGATGAATCAAAAACACCTTCCGGTTCTGGCGCAGGTGTTTTCAGGACAGAGATATCAACCTGCCTGGAACCTATGCGACTGTATTTCAAGTGGAAATGTATGCTATTGAATTGTGTGCGGAGAGATTGGAAGAATCCAACCTCATACACAAGTCAATAAAAATATTCTCGTACAGTCAAGCGGCGTTGGAAGCTCTTGGCTCTCACCGAGCAACGTCTGAATTGGTAGCAAATTTCCAAAAATGACTCTCCTCGATAGGAAGACTAACAGATTGTCTCTGGTCTGGATTCCCGAAGCAATGAGGCTGCTGACTCCCTTGCAAAGAAGAGTGCGGCAAGCAGATTCATCGGACCAGAACCTGTCATTGGCATCGCTCTAGGCTTTGCCAAATACAGATTGAACATCTGGATGGCAAGAAGATTTTTGGACTTCTGTCAGAATTTTCCGGGATTGGTCCAGTCCAAGGCTTGATACCACAGTTGGACTACTTACAGTAGGGGTGAACTATTTGGTCGAGTGTGAATAGGTGTGCGCCACAATAAATAACCCTTGTGGGTTGCGGTGGAGGGTCGAATAGACCCACTTATTTTGGACCTAATCCAACCTAACTACCTGTAATATTGAATGAAATATGAAAAGAAATTACAATGTTCCATTTGCTACCCTGATTGAAACTAATTATAGGTACGACACTGGCCGTCATCCAATAGTAATTCAGTTGGGAGAGTTTATACCTGCGCGATCGCTCGCCATCACGTTTGGCGCTCGCTATCCTATATTTCAGAATTTACTGCAACCGGTCTGACGATGCATTCTTTAGTATTTGTTTGGCAGCCATCGATAGCGAAAGTTTCCGGTAAATTTGTGAGAATGAAGAAAATTGGTCTTCGTTACGTGGAACAATACTTTCATTTGAAAGGTGTGAGCTCAACCAATTCAAAATCTGAACTCGATTCTACTCTGGATGAGTCTGCTCATTCGTTTACAACAGTGAAATATTGGGTAGTAGAGTTTTAACGAGGCCTTACGAGCTGCCAAGACAAGCATCGCAGAGCTCGAGCAAATGAGGTGACGACTCCAGAAACGGTGAAAAAAATCCACTATGCGATAGCGAATAGTCGTCGACTGAAAGTACGCGAGCTAGCAGACTCAGTAGGCATTTCAAAAAACAGTGTTGTCAAGGTATTTTATTTGGGTGTTTCACAGCAACAAAGCAGAATTCTTATATCGCTTCATAATCATGGATGAAACATGGGTCCATAAATTTACACCCGAACAATTGAAACAGTTTCTTTGTAGTTGCTGAACCAGTGTTGGGTTCAATTGCCCTTAGAGAAAAAGTGTGGATTCAGGTAAAAATGAAGTTTTTTTTACCACATTGTCATCTGTGGTAGCGATGTATTCCTGATAAAGTTCATCAAAGACAGTTTACTAGAAATACATATGACAGGTTGAAGCAGTGCTTTCCTGTGTTGAATCACGAATGCTCCATTATAAAAATGTATAGGGTGTCCCACATTTTATGTGACAGGCAATATCTGGTTTGTTGAAGGAGATACACAAAAATGTTTCATACAAAAGTTTTAGGAGTTCATGAGAGCTATATTTTGATATAATTTTTAAATATACAGGGTGTTTGGTGTAGGTGCTACAGACCAAAATTCCATTTTTTAAAATAGAACGCCCTGTATATCATTACATATTCAGATGCTACGTTAA